CGGGTTATGACCCCAAATAGCAAGGTTTAGGTGAAGCCATCTTAGGGGGGGGTCTAAGTTGGTTACCTGGATTACCAGCAACTTACCAACTTGACCGAAGACCCAAGCGCCATAGTCGCAGGACGCTTTGTCGGACATGGTTGGGACTTGGTTGCCAGGGCAAGGGGCCAGGGCTTGCGGGGCAGCCGGGACCTTTGGTGGCAGGTCCTTGCGTCAAAAAGAGCCAATCAGCACGATGTCAGCGGGAGGTCATTGGAGTAACCTCTGATTCTTGGTGACCAGCTGACAAGCTAAGACCGGCGTTTTCAACCTCAACTGTGCTCCCTCCATGAAGCTTGCTTGCATGCCCTTTGCGTACAGAAACGAAGAATTCACCCAAGTATTGGGGGCCATGAGCCGCTGGCCGAGGTTTCTGGTTTCCCTTTACCCTAGTTCTCCTGTTGAATCATCGGTGGGACTGCAGGTCGCGTGGACCAGCTTCTGCAGAGGACGGGGGTTGTTTTGTCAGTGTCGCATTCCAGCGCCATTGTGTCCATGGAGTTAGGTTAGAAGTGAGCCCTTTGTTTCTTTTTTGAGCTTGCTTGTAAGAAAGACCAACTATTGACTGAAGGACCTGTTCCCATCCCTTTGATGGCAGAGGACGTGGGAACCAAAAAGTCAGTTAATTTCAACAGTTTTTGGCCGGGAGCAGCGGTATCGGTTGCAGCATGTTGGACAGGATCTGGCAGCGACTTTTGGACGTTGCCAGATCCTGCCAGATTCTGGCCTTAAATCACCCGGATCACGAAGGAAACGCATTAAGATCCAGATCTAAGGCCAGGATGTGGCAACGTCCAAAAGTCGTTGCCAGACCCTGCGTTTGTTTGAGGGAGGGAGCAAGTTGCCGATGCGCCGTGTGAGGCAAGGTCGGACGCGGTTGTTTTTTGCTGGCATCTTTTGGCGGTGCCAAAAAGCCACAGACCTGCCAATTTTGAGCGAGCGTTCAACACCAGGAATTGTATAACAGATGGGGGGGGACCGGTTTTTTGTAGCTAAGGAGAGGGTATGACCTGTCCACAAACGAGTGCGGTTGATGATTAATCCTGGACCTGTGCCTTGCAGCTGTACACAAAGCATGCCTTTCAAACAGACCCCCCAAAATGGGCCGGCCCTTTGGGTCTCTCAGTGTTTCATGGTCCGAAGTCCTTCCTCCGAGGCTTCAACAAGGGGTGTCGGTGAGCTGATGCCAGTGAGAGCTTGCGAGGCCGGGAAGTGTCCTGAGTTGGACCCTTCCAAATGGACTTCCAGAGGTGCCAAATCTCTAGGTTTTGCAGTAGTGCCCTTCTTTCCCCTTTTTTTGGGGAGGGTTCCCCTACTAAAATAGACGACAGAAAAAAGGGTACCTTTATTCTAACCTCTCTACTGGAGGACCTGGCTGAAGTTGTTTGGATTGGGTGTCCATGCTTTTGTTTGGAGTGGGTGTCTCAAACAAAACAAGTCCTTCTTCCCCTAACGGTCCAGACATGGCGTCTGTCTTCAAAGTGGCCCCGTCGCCCGAGATTTCAGCATCTCTTGGAAGTCCGACAGTCCTCCACGGCGTGGTTTGGTCAATCCCTGGCTCTCTCACGAAGGCAAAGCTTCCATTTGCTTGAGACGATTTTATATTATTTTCCTCTGTCGGTTTTAAAGGGAATCGATTTCACTACTGGACACAATCTTTTCAGGGGTCTTCACCAAATGGAAGAAAGGGATTCCAAGCCAAGCTTCGGGCTCCGTGCCCCCACCTTATGGCTCGCCACGAGAGTTGCGTGCACGGCTGCGCGAAAGCAGCGGAGTGGCTTCGTCGGTCGGGATAGGTACCCGAGAGAATGTACAACATGTGGGTGTGGTTGTCAAACATGTTTTCGGATCCCATTTTGGTTGGTAGGTGAATTCACCACCCGTTTTAGGCTTCCTGTTTTAGTGGTTGGATTGGGATGTTCACCGAGGGTACGGGTTTTTGAGCCATGGCCATGTATTCGCGTACTACTCATGCAGTGTACATGGTTGTATGTGTTTATTTAGCTTGCTTTTCATTTAATTCAAAGATCCGTTCATACATGTGCCCGTTCATGAATTTGATCATGTGCTTTTCTCGTCCAGTCCTTTTGTCCTTCCTTGCTTGCTTGCTTCCTGCCCTCCTGACTGCCTGCCTTCCTTCCGTCCTGCCTGCCTGCCTTCCTCCCTTCCGTCCTTCCTTCCTGCCTTCCTTCCTTCCTTCCTTCCTTCGTTCCTTCCTTCCTTCCTTCCTTCCTGCCTTCCTTCCTTCCTTCCTTCCTTCGTTCCTTCCTTCCTTCGTTCGTTCCTTCCTTCCTTCCTGCCTTCCTTCCTTCCTTCCTTTGTTCCTTCCTTCCTTCCTTCCTTCCTTCCTTCCTTCCTTCCTTCCTTCCTTCCTTCCTTCCTTCCGTTCATTCATGAATTCAGTTGTTTTTGTTCATGCATGTATGCATTTATGTGTTGGTTTGTTTATTCATCCATTTTGTCCCTTTTCCTTTTTCTATGCATTAATGCTTTCATTTGTGCACTCACGCACTCACTCACCCACTCACTCAGTACGTCAGTCAGGCATTAATTCAGGCACTCATTCACGCATTCATGCATGCATGCATTCATTCGTTCATGCATTCGTGCATGCATTAATTCGCTCATTAATTCATTCATTCATTCATTCATCCATCCATCCATCCATCCATTCATTCATTCATTCATTCATTCATTCATTCATTCATTCATTCATTCATTCATTCATGCATGCATTAATTCGTTCATTCATTTCATGTCATTTCATGTCATTTCATGTCATTTCATGTCATTTCATGCCATTTCATGTCATTTCATGTCATTTCATGTCATTTCATGTCATTTCATGTCATTTCATTCCATTTCATTCCATTCCATTCCATTCCATTCCATTCCATTCATTCATTCACTCACTCATTCATTCATTCATTCATTCATTCATTCATTCATTCATTCATTCATTCATTCATTCATTCATTCATTCATTCATTCATTCATTCATTCATTCAGGTGTTTGTCCATTAGAGTTCATTCAGTTCATTCAATTAATTCCTGTTTATTGATTCATGTGTTGAGCAATACATTAATGACTTGTTGTGTTCATTTGGATTTATGTAGCTACTTGAGCAGGTGAGTTTTTTTTCTTTTGACTGCGCAGTTGCTCAGCTCTTTTTTACACAAGAGGTCAGGCTTGGTCAGAAGGTTTGGACAGACCTGTGGTTCTATGGCTCTTCGGGCCTTGTGAACTTCCACAAGGCTTGCGAAGAAACCAACTACAGGAAGTTCTACAGGAAACCCCTGATGTTGGTGGGAAGTTGGCTAGTTTCCTGTAGAATGTCCTGTAGCTGGTTTCTATGGTTAAGGCAAGGAAGACACGACGATCTGTCTGACTTCGGAGTTTGGATCCTTTCCTGGCCACGTAGAGCTTGCGATGTGCGCAGCCTGCGCTCTCTTCAGACCGTTTTGCCAGCGCGGGCAAGAAACGAGCTGCGCAAGTCGTTCTGGGGCTCAATTTGGAGGGGTCCCGGGCGCTTCCCCCTCCATGGTCAATGGGAGGTCTGGGATAGTCACGGATCCTTGGTTCGACACATAAGATAATTGAGGCTACATAAGATCAATGGGCTTGGAGTTTTGACTCGATTTGTTGGGGAACTTGAATCGCAAGCTACGACCGGTCCGCTCGAATCCTCTGAGTGATTTCGGGGAGGCTGCATACTATGCAGGCCATAGGTCAAAACCCCGACCCAGTGAGCATCCCAATCCCCACTAAAATAGACTAAAATGGAGGTGCACCTACCCCAAAATGAGATCCCATTGCTTTTGATCCACAGCCATATTTAGCGTTCATACTCATGAGGTCCTTGGCCCTTCCTTATGGGGTTTCTCGGTAACTGGGAAGACTCGCGAAAGACCCAGCTCCTTGTTCATAGTCTCCAGTGGTAGAGTCCCTTTAAGATGGAAACTGTGTAGAGAGCCAAGGTATGAACAAGGAGCCGGTGCTTCTATGGACTGCATTTGGTGTGGCTGCTAAGTTTGCCACCCTATTCAAATGCCAAGGTTGCACCTCGAAGCCAGATGCACCCATGAGGGCTCAGCGTGGGCTGTTGTCGCCTGGTCTCGAGAAGCTCAAGAAGATCCCAACACCTGCCCGGTGTTACGAACTTCGACCCCAGGTGACAGGTTTTCGATCAAGCTGTGAATGTTCGAGAGACACTCCCTTCATGGGGGCAGACCATATAGATACTCTGATATTTCCGATGTGGATGCTGCATAAAAGAGCCCCCAAGTTGAATTCATACCCAACTGAAATATGGGTGGCTGTGTGGTTTGAAAGGGAAACCAACAAAAACAACACACTTTCTGGTTTGGGGGGGTTCCCTATTTTGACACATACCCATATAACCCAGGTTGAAGGTGTCTTTTTCGGAAGCCGCGATCGGATGGGGAATGTCCTTCCTCTCCCTACCCTCAGGGAAACAAATCTTCAAGTTCACGGATCTCTTTTAAACGTCGCCATGCTTGTCGGGAGGGTAATTGATGTGGGGTGCGGGAGAATCGTCTTTTTGAGTGCCCTTCTTTTGTGGTGGCTTAAACAGCAAGCCACCATTTTGAGGGGTCCTCCTGCTTTGCCACACCCGGTTGCTATCTCCTCTGGATTTGAGAATCCTTGCATTTGGTCGATGTGTCGCTCCGAGGATGGTTTGTTGGTCGCTTGGGCAATGACAATTGCACGGTCATGTGATCACGCATATTTCTACTTAATGCATATATTGTACATATATATATATATATGTATGGTGGTCAGACCTTACTATGTATACATTATATATAATGTATGCATAGTTGAGTATGAGAAATCATGCTGATCCTATAGTTGTTTAGGTGATATACTTGAGCGACCACAGGCATTGTCTCAGGTACCACTCAGCTCCCGGAGAAAGCAAGCCACGCAACCAGCGAGCGCGCGTTCACAGCCCAGCGAAGCCACTGACATGACATGGATGTCCAGCGAAGCCAGCGATGTCGTGCCAGAGGTGTACGAGGATCGTGAAACAAGGGGGAAGTTGCAGGGGCCAGTGGCTTGAATGGGAGGTGTTTTTTGTTTGGGGTGAACAGGAAAATGCCCTCCTAGCAGGCTCAGGTTCGCGGTGTGAATGGGGCATGGACTAGTTGGGTTTCGCCCTGGTCTCTGGGTATTTGCCATCGCGGGTGGCAAAGCTTGCCCCGCAAACTTCGGTTGGCTGCCTTCTGTGTTTTTTGGAGTGAGGGCCTCCAGTGGCGGTGTTGAAGCAGTAACTCAGTCGTCCGAAGCGACCTTTTGACCTTTTGGTTTTCCCCAGGTCCCCCAGTAGGACCCTTCTCTCCCCTTTTTTGGTTGGGAGGGTTCCTCTACTCAAATAGACAAAACCGACAAAAGTTGGTATATACCCTTATTCTAACCTCTCAAATCTGGAGGACCTAGTTCCTATTCTGGTCCATATTTAGTCATGCCAAGAGGTGAAGCTTTTAATTCTGGGTCCCTAAGGGCAACTGCAGCGGACTTACCCCCCGCCAAATTTTAGGGTCTTACGGAAGGAGGCTTCCTTCCGGCAAGTAAGAGTGCCACGTCCGGCGAGGGGCTCGTGACATGACGAATTATTTTGCAATCTAGGTGGGTTTTAGTGCAACCATCCTGTGGTTGTTACCCATTTGTCTGGTTAACATCCTGTTTGGCAAGCCGCTTTAGTGCAGAGCATCTGCTTTTCGGTCAACACTTTCCGTAGGGGACCTAGGTAACCGAGCTTCTCATGCCTTTCCGCTCACGACACAGCGGCACCTTTCGGCACGCAGGACAGCACCGTGACCTCCGGTCCTCCGACCCAGCGAGAAGTTCTGAAAGAGGCCGGGCGAGACGCTCGGGTCCCGGGGGCTCGGCAAAGGCTAGGTCCAGCTAGGTGCCCGACCTCTCACCCCTTTTGTGGTTGGGAGCATTGCCCTACTCAAATAGACTACAGAACAAGTGTTTTTTTGTTTTGTTTTTTTAAACCTCTCTACTGGACCTAGAAGACGTAAAGTTGGGCCATATTCAAAGCATTCACTTTGTCCACAGGAACATCACCATTTGCACGGGAATGTTGGCGTTCAGAGGGAGGAGAGCCGCGCTGACAAGGCTTGCCTTTCTCAATCGACGGTGTCCATGTATGTTCTTTCAAGGGGCTCAAAAGCCAGTCCCCGGTAAGTAGGCAACGGCAAACGGATCCCTTCGGGGGTTCGGGGCTGTTCTGAACGAGGGAAGGCCTTTCCTTGGCATGTGCCTGTTACCAGAAGTCCGCAGCACCTGCGCTGCAAGTCAGTTCAGGACAGAATTTTAGTCTCCAATTCATATGAACTTCGGATGAGCCCGGAGGATCCTAGTCAAGGGAACCTCACAAGAGATCATTTTACTTCCAAAAGGGGCAAACCAAAGGGCAAGTCTGCGACCAAACCAAAAGGTATCTCAACAATGAGGCCCCCAGCACTTTCGGATGGTCTAAGAGAAGTAAAAGAAGAGGATTCGGGATCCTCAAGAATGCTATTGTGGACTGACAAATCCTGCACCACCTGAGAAGCCATGGGAAACCCTTGTTGTTTGCATGCGCCTCTGTGGCCTTTGGTAGGTCTTAAAAGTAGTGTTACCTACAAAGTCTACCTCCCCCTCCTCCCTTTTCTTATTGGGTGCCTTAGTATGTTTGATTCCCTAAATATGTCAAGACCAACAGCACACAGCCTTGCACTTTACCTTGTTGGGGGGCTTACGTGCAACACTGAGTCAGGGACTCAACTTGGGCGATTGGAAGTTGTCAAACCACACCTTGGCTCTTGTCGTGCTTTGAAGTACTTTGATTTTCCGGGCAGGTTTTTGAAACGCCCTCGGGCTGAAAGCCTCAAAGCCCAACCGAACGGGGGAATCGGAGGCGAACTCTTATCCCCTGCCACAAGCCCAGAAGGGGGTTCGTATTTCAAAAACACCGAGAACATGCCCAGCATGTTGGGCCTTCCTTACGAAAAGTCGTCGAGCCTGCGGAGTTCTTTTTTATTCGCCCCCTTTTGAGCACACCATCATGAGGCCCACAGCCTCATTCTAACTACATTGGCACTCATATTCTCAGTTGCCCAGTGGCGCTCGGGAAGGGGTCCGATTCCTTTCAACTCAGCCAGCCAAGAACGGATGCCCTTTTTTTCATGGCCGCTGGGCATCTGAGTATTAGACCCCCTGCAAACTCAAAAATAGCAAGACCTCGCAAAAAACATGCCTAGAGCGAATCGACTGGATCTGACCCGTTTCTGGTCCATGTTTTCCTCGGCATGGCCCCAAAAGGTGATCATGTCAAAGTTCTGGGTCCCGTAGTGGGCAACTGAGCTTATATGGCCGCGGTCGTCAACACCGTTTTGGGATCCCATTTTGGTTGGTAGGTGAATTCACCACCCATTTTAGGCTTCCTATTTCAGTGGTTGGATTGGGATGTTCACTGACGGGGTTTTGACCCATGGCCATATTTATTGAAACCATAGGTGTCCAATTTTTGGTTGTTTCGGTAGAAAAATAGATGGGTTTCGATTTCTGGTCTACCTGGTGGCTTTTTCTCATCTACATGGGAAACCCATCTATTTCCACTATGGGGACACCTATGATTGAAACCTATTGGAGGATGCCCCCACTTGACCGCTTGACCGGGGTGCAAAATCTCTGCCTTGACGCCAGGAGCCCAACACGGACGATGAAGTCCCCAGCCGCACGCGGCGCGAGGAAGGGCCCTGCGCGTCTTTTCCTTCAGACCGATGGGGTTGTCCAGACTGTTTTTCCAGCGCTGGGTCGCTCAGTGGTGCCCTTCTCTCCCCTTTTTTGGTTGGGAGGGTTTCCCTAGTAAAATAGACTACAGGAAAAGTGGGTACCCTTATTCTAACCTCTCTACTGGGGGACGTAGAGCGGGAACCCGTGGTGAAAGATGAAAACCACCCCTTTCAGGGCACCAACGGCCACAGGCACATCCCCACCAACGGCCGGTCTCTTTCCGCGCCACTGGGGGTCTAGGTTTTTGTGTGAGCGTGCCCTGAAGCTTGTTTAAAACCGAAACGGAAGCAGGTCTTCTCGTGGGGATGACGAATCGGACTGGCCCCCATGATTTGGGAGATTGCACTGGGTGCTCCTGACAGCCACTGGATATCCCTATGCCCAAGCGTGCCTACGCTGGCGGATCCCATTTTCCATGCCCACGGTGTGTTCAGTCCTTTGCCCATATCTAGGGGCTGGCAAGATGGTAGCTAGGCTCTTTAGGGATCATCACCCCTGACAATGCTGCTGGGCCCTTCTTTTGGACATCAACGTGGCATGGTGGCATACCTGAGCTCTTTAGACAGGGAGCAACCATTGCGAGAGAAATATGCAAGCTCAAGTTGCTTCCCTGGGCCTTGGCTTGTGGACATCTCAGGGTGCCAATGTCCACTCAATACCCAGGGAAGGCTTTTTACCCCAAACGCAGCTCGCGGGCCCGTTGGGTTTAGGGGTACTTCCCCTGCGGTTTGGATCTCTCATGAACAAAAGTCGTAGCTTTGGGAAGGCCCTGCCGGTGATCGGACACCACTTGAACTGGGAGGACGCGTTCCAAGGGCCACCTACTCTCAGAAGAACAAAAACCTCCGTATTGAGACGCACCATGAAACCGAAAGTAAAGTTATCCCGCTGCCAAGTGCTGGACTTTAAGGCACAGCTCGAAACCAAACCGAATTACACGCTTTAGCGACATGTGCGGGTTTCAGCAACCAACCGAGCGGCCATCCAGCCAGGTAGCCAGCAAACCAACCTACCAACCTTCCTTGGCAACCCACCTACCTGCCAACCTACCAACCTACCAACCTACCAACCTACCAACCTACCAACCTACCAACCTACCAACCTACCAACCTACCAACCTACCAACCTACCAACCTACCAACCTACCAACCTACCAACCTACCAACCTACCAACCTACCAACCTACCAACCTACCAACCTACCAACCTACCAACCTACCAACCTACCAACCTACCAACCTACCAACCTACCAACCTACCAACCTACCAACCTACCAACCTACCAACCTACCAACCTACCAACCTACCAACCTACCAACCTACCAACCTACCAACCTACCAACCTACCAACCTACCAACCTACCAACCTACCAACCTACCAACCTACCAACCTTCCTTGGCAACCAACCTACCTGCCAACCTACCAACCTACCAACCTACCAACCAACCTACCAGGTAGGTTGGTTGCCTACCAACCTACCAACCTACCAACCTACCCTACCAACCTACCAACCTACCAACCTACCAACCTACCAACCTACCAACCTGCCAACCTGCCAACCTTCCTGCCAACCTACCAGCCTACCAACCTACTAACCTACCAACCTACTAACCTACCAACCACCCAACCTACCAACCACCCAACCTACCAACCTACCCTAACCTACCAACCTACCAACCACACAACCTACCAACCTACTAACCTACCAACCAACCTACCAACCTACCAACCTACCAACCTACCAACCTACCAACCTACCAACCTACCAACCTGCCAACCTACCAACCTACCAACCTACCAACCTACCAACCAACCAACCTACCAACCTACCAACCTACCAACCTACCAACCTACCAACCTACCAACCTGCCAACCTGCCAACCTACCAACCTACCAACCTACCAACCTTCCTTGGCAACCAACCTACCTACCAACCTACCAACCTACCAACCTGCCAACCTGCCAACCTGCCAACCTGCCAACCTGCCAACCTACCAACCTACCAACCTGCCAACCTACCAACCTACCAACCTACCAACCTAGCAACCTACCAACCTTCCTTGGCAACCAACCTACCTACCAACCTACCAACCTACCAACCTGCCAACCTGCCAACCTGCCAACCTGCCAACCTACCAACCTACCAACCTACCAACCTACCAACCTACCAACCTACCAACCTACCAACCTACCAACCTTCCATTCTGCAGATGTAACCCGCTTTGCACCGCTTCGTCGAGTGAGAGCCATTGCTTGCGAGGAGGACAGCGAGGATGAGGAGCCGCAGGCCCAGTCTGGGCTTCATCTGGGTTCCCGGGCATCCGGGTCCTTTGGTCTTGAGGCTTTTTTCGGTTGGTGTGGTGGTTGGGTTTCCACGAAACCCACCAACAAGTTAAAAAAACACTGGGGGATCAGACCACGGACAGCCCGGCAATATATGGAAGGGGAAGCTCCGAACGTTTTTCCATGTTGGGGTTGTTGCTTATTTCAATCGCGCGAGCCCAAGCGCACCCTTTGACTGGGGTGATACCTGTCGGGGGTGCGACGGGATCTCGTACGGTCCCTCAACAACGGCTTGGGCCGTGGTAGTTTTTTGTTTACTTGCTGAGTTAATCTCTTTTTGGCTAAAAAGGAATCCCTCAAAAAAGGAATCCCTTGGCTGTTGAAAGGACCCCCCCAAAAAGGCAAAAGCCGAAACGGGTTCCTTCGAAGTCAAACAGTTGAGAACCTCATGGCCGTGCCTTGGATTAGTCCGGACCTGTGCCAATCAGGCTTCCCCTTTCATTGGCAATTATAAGTAGTCACGAAAGGAGCTGTTGCTCGCATGAATATCATCCTCCAGAGTCATCCCAGATTCACAGTAGGGGAACTTCCATGCAGCTGCGTGGTTTCGGTTTGCTTTTGTGCGAGTTCTTCAAACTGTGAACCAGCTGAGATAGTCTTCAGCATCGTGTATGATCACATGAGCTTCGAGACCATTGCTAAACACCCACAGACGCATATTATATATATATATATACATATATGTATATATATATATACACACATTCCCCAGGACTTTTGACCATGGCACGTGTGACTTGTTTTCACTTGAGTCACCGAATCCCTCGGTGCCTGCCGAAGCACCTGCTCGGAGGCGTTCTGCATATATTGCCCCAACTTGCTGGAGCTCGCAACTCCCTATGTTCGGCTTCGCAAGTGGCCAAGTTCTGCAGTGACGACTCCATTGGGAGCAACGTAGATGGGGTTCCATGAAGCCTGGTTCAAGCATTTGCTGTAGCATGAGCGTCTTCAGATGACACCACGCTCCTTTTCGCGCTCACGCAAAATGCCCAGCCCGCATTGTTGGGAAGCGTGGCAGTGCAGGCATGTGCTGTGGTTTGCTGAGGCGTTTCCCAAAGTTGGGGCAGTGTCACTTCGAGACTTCTTTGGGGTTGCCCCTTCGGGTGTCTCTACTGCCTTTCTTTGTTGGATGGTTCTTTGGTTGCCCTAACGCTTGGCCTTTCATGTTTTTCTGTTGGGGGGCTGTTCCAGGTCGCGAAGGTACTACTTGGGCTGTTAGTAGCTCGGGCCAAATTGCGTGTTTTTTTTGCCACATCACCATGCCAGTGCGGGATTTACGAGGCATGCAGGCTGTGAGCTCGATTCCTCCCTGTCAGCGTCCACAATCAGTGCCCTGTTGCTTGCTTGCTTTCGCTCCCGCCTCACTCAAGCTTCCCTTTGGTTCCGAGACACCCATCGTTCCTTGGGTCATTCGCCGTCTTCCGTGACAAAGGACGGGAATAAATCAGGCGTACAAGGGCAGGGACGGTCTTCAACAGATGCCCTGTTACAAATGAACAACTTTTAGTGGGTTGAATTCGGACACCCCAACCACACCCACAAAAAAGGCTAAACAGCTAAGGGCATGGCTGGGAGGCATCGAGTTAAACGGCTTCCTTTTGGTCGAAAACGCCAGACGCTTGATTCGCCCGGAAGGATCGAGTTTTCTTGGCCTATGAGACGTTTTTCCGAACCCACCTGGCAACTCGCCAGTTGACCGGGCACTTCAAGAAGTTCTCTGAGGAGGCCAGGCAGTAGGAGGGGCACTTTTCTCTGTGTCCGATTCGAAGAGTTCCTCAAAAAGGGGTCCCCCCAAAAAAGGCATGGAGGTCTATGTCACCCATGGCTTCCCCATGGGTTTCTAAACTTTTAGCCGTGTGAATCGTTTAACCAAAGTGAGACACCCTTCCCTAGAGATAAGAACTTACAGCTTGTGGATGGGAATCACGGCAGCCCAAGGCCCACGGTTGGAAGTCCAGCTGAAATGGCGAAGCATTTGTTAATCTGGGTCCCGCAGCAATTGGTGCCCTTTCTCACCCCTTTTTTTGGGGAGGGTTCCCATACTAAAATAGACTACAGAAAAAAGTTGGTACCCTTATTCTAACCTCTCCACTGGAGGACCTAGGAAATCATGGAGGCTTGCTTCTTTGAGAAGCGGGCCCAGCAGGGTGTCCTGGAGCAAAGTTGAGCGACATGAAAGTGTTGGCGACCTCACCCTTCTTGCCTGTTCCTCCCTAGCCCTTGAATCAATTAAATACAGCTGGCCATACAAGCAAACACAGCTGGCGGTGTTTACAAAAAGACACCAAAAGGGAATCTTGGAACCCTTACTTGGGGTGGGTGATTTATGAATTGTATACCTCTTTCCAACAAGCATGGAGGCGCACGGAAGGGTATTGGCCGACAGTCCCTTTGGTCACTTCACACCACTGAAACCGGAAAGCTTCCACCTGCAACTCCTGGGTTCCTCAACATGCACTTGGAGGGTTCAGATGATTTGGGGTGCTGAGTCTGAGATGACTTGTTGGTTCTCATTCCTTCTGCTTTTGGTGCCTAGAACTCCCTCCCAATTAAAAAAGTAATTTTGAGGATATCATTTTGATTTCCAAACCCAAAAGTAATTTTGTGTGTCGTTTTTCTTACCAAACCCCAAAGCGGTTGGTTTTCCGTTTGGTTCCCCTTCAAAACCAAGGAGTACCTCCCAAAACGACGCGCCCAGCTGGACCTAAAGGGGATCACGGAAGACGAGTTTCGCCCCCTTTCGCCAGGTCAGGCGCCTCTCTGAGGAGGCGCGGATGCCGCGAATTTTGTTTCGCCAAGTCTGCAGTTTTCCATTTTCTTCCCCAGAATTAGCTCCCCTTTTTGTTTTTTTTGCTTTTTGGGGGTTCCCTTTGTTTTCCACTAACCAGGCAAAGACATATATATTTTTTGCTGGGGTCCTAATTCTGTGGTTCCCAGCCATCCGGTTTCCTCGGGTTTTGAGCGGTTTTTTACCTTGGTGTTTAGTGGAGGTTTCCCCAAGTTTCACCCACAAGTTTCCGAGTGGCATGAGGACTGCCCAGATGTTTCTATGGGATGAAGCAGAATCTCACATGTTTCCAGGGGTTGATTCCAACCATTCTTTTCAACCATTGTTCTTTTCAAAAACCGGCTGTTTCCCCCGGTTTTTGATTGTTTCCTGAAAAGACTCGGATGCCTGGGTTAAGAATGGAAATGGAAGGTACCCCCTATGTGACTTTTGGGGTTCTCCGGAGCCATGAAGTCTCCAAGCGGGGGCGGGTTTGAATAGAAGCCTGTCCAAAGCAACAAGTAACGGTGAGCAAGCAATCTTGTGTGTTTCCAACAGGGGATCCCCGCTGGTTGGATTGCTCGAAGTTCTCTTTGAACAGCTTGCAGAGGTGAGTCTCCTTTCTTTCGACAGGCATGTGGTTTCGTGCACAGACAGCCTCAGAGGAAACTGCAATGAGAAAGGGTTTCAAACCAGATTTTGGAAGGCTAAGGCCGGTCATCAATCAGTCACAACGGCAAAACCGCAACTATCCGTGTTTTTTTTGGTGTGTATGTGTTGACAGAATCTTGACCCTTTGTGGGGGAAGCCGCCTTTTGCGCAAAGTGGCACGAAGATCCCAACGGAGGCTGCTACGTTGGACAACCACCCCCCGTGAGGGCGGAAATACACGGTAAGCACGACGCAACTGAATGAGCAATTGCCTGATGGCTTCAGGCAAGGAATGCCTCCAAAAAGGATGGTTTTTGTGTTTGTTGCCCTTGATATCGACAAATTCCTCAAATGGATTCCTTTTCTTTGATATGCTGCCATAGGGCATTGAGTGACAAGTGCTTTCGACAATCGGAGAGATCGACATGGGGTTGTCTCAAAATAGGCAAACTCTCAAAACTGGGTGGTTTCCCTTTGGGTTTCCCTGTAAAACCATCCAGAACAAGGTACCCCAGATTTGTTTTTAAAAAAAGGCGCTCTCATATCATGACCATCTCTTCCCTGGGAGCGGTTGGTGACAATGGGGTTTGCTACCTCACCCATGCGTTCCGTAGGGGAACCTCGCAGGGTTCCTGGTATTGCCCTTGCTGGTTGGCTACATTACCTTCTGGTGGGCAAATTTGATTGTCTTTCATGGGCCAGCGATTGTGTTTCGAGGTGAAAATACTCAGGGGAGCATCCTTCGTGTTGGAACCCCTTTTGAATGCTCTTCAACGCGGAGCCAAAAAAGGACACCGATCACTTTGTGGATTCTAATTATATTTTTGCACACGCCCAACCGTGGCGTGTCAACATAGGGTACGATCCCAAACGTTTTTTGGGTTGCCCAGAGACCTGACACTCATCCCCCATTTTCTGCCTGGCTTCTTCGCCGATTTTTTTTTTCGGCGGTCGCTAGGCCGGGCGGTACGAGGGCTGCGAGCTGGAGGTGAAGACCTACTTCGACCTTCAGGAGCGATCTGGGGCCCAGGGTTGAGCTGTATGCAGTTCCCCTCGGTGTGTTTGTTGGAAACCCTCGGTGTGTGTCCCATGTGCAGTTTGGATATCTCCTATGTTTTCTTTAAGCAGACCTGTGTGGTATCCAATGTTTGCAGGGTCACCTACTCTTGAGAGACAAGTCACCATGATGGACACCTGGCAGCCAAACTGACCATTACTAATTTGTTCCTTTCAGGACCCCACACCTTGCCGTATTTGCCCGTATGTCCATTTGTTTTCGGTCATTCGCGCATGCGAACCGTACGAAATCCGTATGAGCAAAGATTTCGATCACAAGCGCAACAAGTTGCCTCTTTCTCAGCCAAAGGCCTTATGATCAGAAAGAACGGTTATGGGCGCCAGACACTTATTGGTCTATTTGGGCATGTCTCTTTTTCGGGGACCCCCCAAAAAAAAGAAAAGAAAAGAAGAAAACAGGAAGAAACGTGTTTCCTTGTGGTTTCCTTTTAACGCCATCCATGGGGTACCCTCAAACAAAGGCGAGCCACCCATTTGGGTGTTGCAGTATCTGTTTGTTCCCTTTCAGACCAGGGTGTGTGCTTTCTGAGGGTACCCTGTTTAACGTTGTAAAAGGGACGCCAAAAGCACACCAACCCCTACTGTGGATGGACAAAATCCTGCAGTACCTAAGAAACCCCGGAAGGATGATTCCTGTGTAAATACCAACAAACAATGGCTTCAACCATGGTTTCATTTCGTGGTGCGATTGCTGAAGTCTGGCATCCAAACCCCTACCCTTGAGAACTTGTGTGCAAGTGGTTTACTGCAGCGCTTTTGTTGGGGCAACTGATGAACATGTTGGGTGTCTTGGTTGCTGTTGACCCTCTGCAAAAAGCTTGACTGTTTTGTGGGTCCAATGGAAAATCCACTGCTTCCCAAAAAGGTAAAGTCCAAAGATGGGCGTGTTGTCTTAAGTTTCTATTGCATTGCATATGTGCACCCCCTCCCCCCTCGATAAATGGATTTCTCCACTATCCACATCATTTTTCGACATACCCTCCCACCAATTAACATGGAATGACAGGGGGGTCCCGGAAGACCATTTTCCTTTTACTTCCATTTGCTTAGGAATATGTTTTTGTTTCCCCTGTTGGTTTTAAATGGAATCTATCACTACTGGAAATAGTTGTTCTTTTTCCAGGGGTGTTAACCAGAAGTTTAAAGGCACCCCCTTCATGCGGTTCCATGTGCAATCGGTACCCGTGAGGGGACGTGTTTTGCAGGGCTACGACCTGGACAGCTTTGCGTCCCGTGCCCGGAAGCAGCCGGGCGCCCTGTTGATGCCTTGCTGCCTCGCTTAGTCGACCAGAAGCTTTCTGAGCATAGGTGTCCTTTTTGGTTTTGCTAGAAAAGTATATTGTTTGGTTGTTTTGCTAAAAAAAAACATATTCCTTAGTTGTTTTACTAAAAAAAATAAATGAGTTCCCCTAGTTTACCTAATGCTTTAATCATCTAGGGCGATCGATTTCCCCTAAAGGGATACCTATGTTTCTGAGTTCTTCGCAGCTCGCGATTTCTCCACAGAAACTTCAAGCCCGAAAAGAGCGTCACCAGAAACGGGCCATGGTCACCCAACTCACTCCCTGAGTTTTTGGACTTCAGGCACTTTTGGGAAGACTGACACACGGTTGTTGTTGGGAAACTTGTTTCCCATTTTTGCTTTTTGTGGTTTGGTGGTTGAAATCCAAATCCACTTCACTGCCAAATTGTTTGAGAATTTTTGCTCCCCAAACCCAACGTCAAGACAAGTTTGGGAAGACTTTTCCGGCCAATCCGCTGGATCAGAAGCAAGGTTCTTGAGTCCTTTGAACCTAGGGGCCACAAATCGGTGCTGTCCCCCGAAGGAAAACCGCCTGCCATGGCCGGGTCATTTCGATCAAATCCGAAACCATGGGGCTTGGGGAGGGAGGCGCGGGAGCCCAAATTTCCCTCCCTCCCCTCCCCTCCCCTCCCCTCCCCTCCCCTCCCCTCCCCTCCCTTCACCTCCCTCCCCCTCCCCTCCCCGCCCTCTCGCCGTGATACCACATCCCGTATTGTTTGTTTGCCCGCGTAGAAGTCAGCCTAGCCCAACATCTGTCGGATGGTTTTCGGCTGTTTGTATATCTTTGTATGCGGTCCAAGTAGTAATATATAGATTGTTGTGTGGGGTTTCCGCCTAATACAGCGTGAATGGGAAAGGCTAGTGTGCTGAACTTACCTGGTGACTTTGCGACTTGCAGCTATCCACACAAATCTCAGCTGTTCAGTGGCACCCTTTTTACCTTTTTTTTTGGTGGCTGCCCCACTACGAATGGTCCAAGCCCCAAAAAGGGTTCCCTTTGTTTTCTCCAGGGTCACTGAACAACGGAGAAGGGTTCCCTTTGTTTTCTCCAGGGTCACTGAACAACTGAGAAATCCTTCAAGATCGTCCCGATCCATCGCGGTCGATGGCAGCTGCCCGGCCAGGATGTACATGTTCTACTCCCGCATCTTCGAAAAGCTGGCGCGCGGCCCAGAAGCCGAAGCATCAGCACGTTTCGATTCGGCCTCCGAATCGCCCGCAAGGCGAGGCCACAGGTCAGGACGAGTCAGGGTTCAGGTTGATCGTAAGGCCACAGGAACGCAAGTGGTGGGTTTGTATGGAGATTGGTTTTTGAGCCATAGCCTTGATAAAAAGGGATTGCAGCAGGTGTCCAAGGGAAGCCAGAGATGCGACAGATAGGGGGTGGGTCAGTTTTGTTCTTCTTTAGGGCGCATGGTTTTGGGACCACATGTGTAACTTTAAGTGTCGTTTAAGGTCGTTGGTGAAAGAAGTCAAAGGCAAACAGTTCAGGTTGAGGCAAGACTGGGCCAACGATGGAAAGGGTTTCCGAGCCTTTTCCCTTTTGGAACCTCCAAGAGTGGCGATCGTTCAGGGGGAACCACCAGTAAATTGGTCAACTTTTTAGGGTCCAGTGCCTCCTGATTGAGTTTACTCAGCTTCCTTCGCCTTGCGTGGGTGCCCCAAGACGCTCCGCCTTGAGCCCCTTAAAGCAGGGCAAGCCGTGCTATGGCCGAACCAGCCCCCTTCGCAGCGAGTTGGGTTGTTTGTTTGTTTGTTTTTTCCCTTTTGTTGTTCATGTTTTTGTTTTTCCCGCGAGTTGGGTTGGTGTCCATCTGGAGTGTTTGGGGCTTTCAGTGTCCAGTCACGGCCAGTCACGTCCGGTCGCTCCAGTTGGAGTTTTCGAGGTGGGAAAGCAGAAGGGGGTGGAGGTGCCTTTCTTCGCACCGGTCAATTTGGATGAACGCCTGCGCCGCTCCCAGATGAACACCACTCGAGTTCAATCCGCGGAGAAAATGGGACGTCTTCTTTGGAGGCTGCCATTTTTGCAAAGGGAGACCAAAAGGAAAGCCAATGAAAGCCACCTTTTTGGGAAATCCCACAAAAGAGACACTTCCATATTGACCCCCTTGTTTGTTTTAGTCAATATCCATATCGAGCGGTTAGTGCCCCTTGCAACATGTTTCGCTCCTGTGTCCAACAGATCGAGAAGTGGGAATGCAGTGTACTTGTTGTTCCTTTCTTTTGAGGGGCTTTGTATGGCTATTGTTGGGAAACATTTTACATTTTTGCTAATTGTGGTTTAGTGGGAAATCCCCACTTAGCCGCTAAGACATATTTTTTTTGCTCCCCTTCCATCGTCAACCAAACTGTAGGGAATAATGCGAGGCTGCCAGCGGGACTTGTACTCGTGGATGCAAACGGATTTGCAAGCCCAAAGTCACTAGGTTCAGCTAGGTGCCCTTTCTCACTCCTTTTTGGGTTGGGAGGGTTCTCCTACTAAAATAGACGTCCTGAAAAAAGTTGATACCCCTATTTTTACTTTGTATTTTTACTGGAGGACGTAGGCAAGGATATCATCTCAGCCGATGAACGTCAGTGCTATCCTTCGACGCCCTGCTGGAACCGCCTAGGGACTCCGCCTCTCCCGCGCGAAGACATTCCAAAGCCTACGAGTAGCAGAGAGATCCGCTGATCCAGTCCAACTCATTGGCCTAAAGCGAGTCGAGCTTCTGACCTTGAGGTTCCAACTTGTGTGGCTCCCCTTTTTAGTCATGGCCCCAACAGGTCATTGCCTTTTATGTCTGGGTTTCTTTGGGCAACGGACCCAACACATACGCCATAAATAAGGATCCAGGGATGCCACTCCGGAGTCCCACTGAATATCTACGTCGGGAGAAATTTGTTGGTGTGACACAGAGTGCAGTTTAGCCCATGGGGCCCACGGCGCCGAAACTCTCGAAACCCCGCGACCCAAAAACAGGACATAGCACATGGATGTGGCACCAGCATTCGCAAAAGTAGGTCGAGAAGCCAACGGCCGGAAGAAACCAAAAGGGAAGGAAAACACCTTTCGGGCACCAGGGCCAGACGCCAGCATGCACAAAACTGGGCAAAGAAGAAACGGAACCACTCCGGAAAAGCAAACAAAAACCACTGGGCCACCAGCCTTCGCAAAAGAGAAACGGCTGAGGAGCTCCAGAAACTCGAGCCAAGCTGCATGGCTTTGGGTCTCCGAGTGATCCCTCAGTGAAGTCCATGAGACTTTCTGGTCACCGTGGGGCCATCGCTCTTTGGGGCCCGTGGGGCCCGTGGAAGGCAAGTGGTTGACTCCGGAGATACCAAAATTGGAACCTTTGGTGAGTCTCTTGTTCGTAGGTCCCCACTTTTACCAACCTTTTTGGTTGGGAGGGTTCCCCTACTAAGATAGACTACAGAAAACAAAAGGTACCCTTATTCTAACGAGGACCTAGTTTACATGAAAAAGAATACTTGACCCCGCAAAAAGCCGCCGTTTCACTGATGTCGCACATTCACTTCGGATGGCAAGTTCTTGTGGCCTCCAACCTTTTAGGTCGCTTGGCCTGGCTTTGCCCATGCTGGGGCTGGGCAGCGGGGCGCTTTCATCTCCATTTTGAATCAAACCGCCTTAAGCCTTTTCTGGAACCCTTTGAGGTCTCTAAAGTAGGCTCCAACGCGTAGAATCCGATGTCCTCTAGATTTGCAGGGGAGCCGAGTCACGGGTGTTTCAGTCCTTCGTTCGCATATCACTTGGACTGTTCCATGCATTGACTCGGGTACCGAGGTTGGGCTTTCGCGCCGTCCTGGAATGGGCCAAAGATTTCAAGCTCATGCCATCAC